TTGCATGGTTTAACAAATAGTATTATTTGCTTTGGCTACAATTCAGAGAGGAAAGATTATCCAGTAAATGCAAAAGCTCATCGAACGYTTTGCCGCCATCAGCAGCAAAGTTGTCTAGTCCCTGAAGCGACTTTCGAACTGAAGCGCTACATTCGTCAAGGATGCGTAACAGGGATCGGTCACTCAGAGGAACAAATTCATTCTCATCACAGTACAGCTTGTACTGGGCTACAATTCTTTGCGGCACCATTGTTCTTATTACATTTGGTACTGGAATGACCTTACCAGATGACAATGTTAAATTCGTCTCGCCGAAAGGGAGATCTTGAACAAGATGAGGGCTAGTGATAAAACACAAGAAGTGATCGAGTTGTTTTTKATTAATTCTGAGTCGAGGTGCATCTTTTTTAGGCACTGGAACTGCTCTACCATATTGCTGTCTGTGTAGGTTTGCAGCGGTGTACCGGTACCTGGTCAAACCGGGAATGTATTCCAAAACTTCCTGAAAACTAGCTACACCTGCCATTATGGATAGAACCTGACGCCGTGTGTCCCRGCTTGCTGCGTTGTTATAGGCTTCGGCTASGGCCTCTAAGTAGGTGTTAGACGTGTCTGATTGTCCTAGGTCTGTGGAGTTTGCTTGCAGTAGATTGACAATTTTCGGATAATTTTGAAGTTCTTCCCAAAGCTTGATGGCAGCACCAGGATAAACAACTTGAAGTACAGATGAAAGTATTTCTGCTGACCTTTCAACATACCGCTCTCGTGTTCTCTCACTTGCTTGTTCCCAGTCCAGCCATGGTCTTTCAATAGGCTTCAGACTACACTCTTGAAGAAACGCATTCAATTTGAACCTTTGACCAAGCTCGTTTCTAGTTCTGTGCTGGCTTCCTGATGATGTGGAGCTGACGGTATCAGTTTGAGTGTCCGTTGGTGACAGAAAACTTTTATCCTCTAGTCTTAGCTTTCTCATCTTTTTTKATAGTTCATCAGAGCTGTTTTCGTTTCCAGTAGCTCCTAGCTAAAAGAAAAATCAACTAATAATCATCAAGCAAGKTAAGCAAGCAAGCAAGCGACCAACCGAACAATCCATCCAGTTATCAATCAATTCATCATGAGCATAAGATTRTAAATTTGATATAACTACCTACTGGATGAATTATGTTTAACATAACATTACATCTATCCACCAATCAAACAAAATAACCCCAATAACGATAACACGGTTATTTGGAAARAAATGCCAATACCTCTAGCGCACTTTCTTCGTCACTGTTGTCTTGTTCTATACTTGCAATCGGCTACAAAGACACGATCAACAAATTGAAAAACCAATCAAGCAATATTKTTTGTCACTTACAAATACGTCATAAAACACGTGTTAATGTATGGTTGACTTTGCATTCTTGCTTTATCTACCGTGGATAGTACTCCCATTCTTTCTTTCAGTTTTTCTTAGTTTCTCATTTCAATTTTTTGTTATCGTTATTTCATAAATTACTATAATTAACATCGTCATCATAAAATTTGGGAACTGAAGACCTATGATGTTGATGAT